ATGCAAAACGGGACGGAAAACATGAAATTTTGCAATAATCTTGCGCCACCCTTGCACAAAACGACGATCATTTTTCTAATTTCATAGATAACAGACCCCCCTGACTTTAAAGTTGGATCCGCCCCTGCATCATAACTTCGAATGGATGAGTATAGAAAGAAACATTTCTGTCTTTAGCTCCAAACAAAGTGCCTGTGTAATCATCTTATTATGCACTCTTTTTGAGCAGCTTATCGTATTCGGTTATTAGCTCCTGCTCAGTTAGTACCGGTGTTCAGTCATCCATTGGTTTAATGTGTCCTTGCGCTGTGTGTATCTTACACACGTGGTAGGAATGGAGCCTTTCCTCGGTATACATTTTGTGAAAGAAAACCTTTTGCACGGTAAAATTCAAAGTTTATTTACACATTTTTCCTTATTTGTTACATACAATCCGATATGCTTTAACTAGTAGGTCTATACAAAGAAAGGCGCCTAATGGAATGGTGTTCTCTCAACCAATTTATGACCACATTGAGGACATGAAAGAAAAAACACTGAGCAGTTTTCCTAAAATAAATAACTAGTAACTATCACGGATCTCAGAATTGGCAGGCAATTGGCATGAATAGGGCCCGATTTTTCCATTGCAGGTTTTGCACATTTTCAAACAACTAGATGAGGCAGTATTTTCTTGTTGCGCTTAGTCCCCTTTGTCAGCTCTAGTACTTTAAGTACATTTTCTCCTTCTTCTTCAGCCACAAGCACACACTGACAAAACTCGTTAGAACAAGAAGTGAAACCAACACGGCCGTGGAAAACACAAAGCCTTGCATGGACATGCAAATGTGGTCTTTCCTGGTTATCTCCAGAGCAGTGTGCCCATTGAGGTCTTCTGGCAAAATGACTCGCACCAGTTTGCCCATCGTCACCCAATCCCCAACGACTGTGTCGTTATTGCTAACGTTCCTTCTGCGTCTTCTGGCCGGGATCACTTGCTGGTCATCTTTGGAGCAAATGTCGCAATCGCTTTTGCATAATTCTATGTTGCACTCGATCATCAAGTCCATTTCGTCCGGAAATTTGAAGGCATTGAAATAGGCGTAGGCCATAATGGAGGCTCCGCTATCGCCAGTTTCCCTGGTCTTTTGGAACGCGCCGAACAGTTTCGGCTTCAATATGCAACCATCTTCATCGGTTAGGGCGATACTGTTTGCGCCAGCCGTGTCCACTGCTTTGCAGTCTTTCACCTGCACATCGAAGCCTGGATCACCACTTACAGACACAACTAAGGTCATTTCCTCGCCGATTTTAACCAAGCCATTGGCTGGCGCCCCCAGGTGTCCACGTCCCAGCAGAACATCCAGTTTAGCCATGGCGGTGTCTCCACTAAAGGTTATAATTTCCTGACTAAGCATTCCAATGCTGAAGGCCACGCTCAACGTGTCTTTGATGTTGCCCTCCCAAAGGCATCTGACCGACCTAACAGTGTCCCACACCTCCTGAATCCCCGGCTCGTTTTGCAGAACGAGCACATTCTCCAAGTACGATTGATTTTGGGTGTCGAATGCATTCACGAACTCCGTTCCACACTTCTCAAGGCTCACCGTGAACGTGTATTTCGTGTTACCTGAGTTCTCCTGCACGTAGCGGCACTCTGGGCTGCTGTGGAAGCCTTTGGAGTAAATCACCCCATTGAACTCCCGATTGAATTCGATGTTGATCGTCATCATTTCTTTGCCGCACTGCACATCAATGGCATGGATGTGGGGAGGATGCTTCAACTCCTCCTCACTCACGTCTGGGGACTGTTTTCCTGCCCCTGGTATTGTGTTGACCTCAGGGTTGGCTGTGGTTGCGGCCGCAGCCTCTTCAGTGGTGGTCCCTTGGGGATGTTCAGCTAAGGTGGTTGGAGTAGACGCAGTGAACGCGCTGGCAGGAGGCAAAGTGGAGCCTGGGGCGGGTTCTGCTGGAGCTTCCGGCACGGGGCTTTCACTGGCCAGGTCCCCCCCTTCCGGACCTGCAGGATGTTCTGCTGGCACTGGCTCATTTCCCTCGGCAGTTTGGGCTTGGTCTGCAAGGAGTGGTTGTTATACGCGGATAAGCAGGATGAAAGTGGGTTTACCTGGATCAGCAGGAGCAAGCGCGGGAGTTGTTGCTTCCGGGCCCACCTCTGATTGGAGAGTGGTTGACGATGGCTCAGCTGGGGGCGTGGTTTCGTGAGCGGGCGCTTGAGTAGCTGCGAAGCAAACAAATCAAAGGATCAGTTTCGTCCAAACAACGCTGCGGCTCTAACCTTCTGGAGAAGTGTATGGTGGGAAACTGGGCTGGGTTTGCTCAGGCGCTGCAGGAGGTTGAGGCTGGCTGGTAAACGGCGCCCCTGGAACAACATCTGGATATCCCGGTGCCAGGGTGGTTGTCGCAGACCCACTTTCAGGCACAACCTCAGGATGGGTTGGGAACGGCCCAGGCAGTTCTTCAGCTGGTTGGGTTGGCGCCCCTTCCGGCAAACCAGGTGCAATGGTGGAGTCATTTTGGGTCTCTGGGACGTTTGCAAGAGTCGTCGCTAGTCCATTGCCTTGTATGGTGGATGGCCCTTTGGATCACATTTTGTGCAGTTTAGTAAAATTTGATTTGATTTGACTATAGTGTACATACTTTCCTGACTGTGTGTCATTTATTGTCTCTAATTATCAATTAAAATACCTTTCGGTGTTTTCCACCATCATCAGTTTTTCTAAAATAACAGATAGTTAAAAAAAAATTCGTTAGTTTAAAAAACACCCACAGTTGGTCAACAGCTTCATCATATCACACACTAAAATACATCACAATTGCAACACTTTAAAACATTCTAAGATTAATTAGGCCTAACAGGTGATTAGTCAGGACAATCAATTCTGGGAAGACTAGAATTCTTTGTTCAGATACTCAAATATTTTTACTTATATGTGTAGCGTTGTTGCTACTTTAAGCCTTGGCATATATTTGGACTATTACTTTTGCCCATTTTGCACACAAAGCGAAATACTGTTTATATTGATTTATTTTTCTTTGCATTCTGATATAATTTTTGGTTTGCAAAATTCTTCAATATACCGGGTGTTAGTTAATATTCTATGTTTATTTCATTTAATTAATGTATGATATACTGAGCTAAGATTG